AATTATCAGTTTAATCTTTTAATTAAAACAGAATAAGAAATACGGGGTAGAAATGTAATTTCATACAACTAAATTTTGTTTCTTTTTTCAAAGCTCTATCTACATATATTCTTAACATATCTCTAATTATAAAAAGAAATAAAGAATAAATAAATAAATAAAGAAAAAAAAAAAAAAACTTCTCACCCCACGTTCTCTATCACTCTATTCCTCTCTTCTTTTATTTCAAAAACAAAAATAAAATTCTCTCACACTTGTGTGCCCGTATGCTAGTATAGAGTCAGATAAGAGTCAAGTATACGACCACGTTCTATGCCAGGTTCGTGGAGAAACTAGAGGTAGGACCGAGAGTGTTTTCCTTCCTTAATACGATGCCAAATGCTTCACAGACTATGAAGCTAAGCTAGCTACAGCCTACCATAAATTACAATTGATTGAAGACAATGTGATAGGTTGTCTAACAGCCTCTTAGTTGCAGCTAACATCAAATTAGAAATAACTTTTGTTCGTATCCATAACATGTGATGAGGCATATTCTTTGTCCTTCCACTTTCCATACACTCTCATCTTCTTCCTGTTTATACGGTCAAGGTTAAGTCACGTCAACATTTTATATTAATTTTTTTTATATAGATAAAAAGACAAAATAATAGTAATATAAAATGTTGACGTTGTTTAACCGTGACCGCACAAACAAGAAGGGATGAGAATGTACGGGAAGTGAGAGGGCAAAGAATCTGCCTCCCTATAAATTTACGCCTTATAACATGCGTTATTATAAATTTACGCATAATAACATGTGAAGTTCTAGATTTATTCTAAGATGTAAATTTTTTGAAAGGGGATGTGCTAATTAAATCTTTGATTAGATAGTTTTATACTCTTAGTTTTATGGTAGTGATCTACACCTATAATTGATTCCAAACTGACGTACAGATTCTGCTAGCTTATCGTTTGTAAACAAAGAACAATAAAATCTTCTTAATTTCTTATTAAGTACTTTAATTGACTCTTTATATAATTAAGAAATTGCAGCGAAGAATATTCATGCAATTGATAGGTTTGAATAAAATGAACAGAAGGTGCAAAGATGTGTACTCTCTCGTGTTAATCATGTCCAAATCAGTGCAAATATTGCCACATTTTTACCCAATTTTCATGCTCAGGTAAATTATTTCTTAATCATACCCCTACCTCCAATGAATTTTGTGCTTAAAAACGTGCTGATCACATTTTATAATATAAATGCATATTATCTTGCAATGAATTTTGTGCTTAAAAACGTGCCGATCACATTTTAATAATACAAATGCAGATTATCTTACTTGTTTATGGTCATGGTCTCTTGATTATTATTGACTCAAGGAAAAAAACCATGCCCTTGAGTTGAAAAACAAACAAAAGAACCGTTAGTAATTTGTTTTCATGCGATATCCGAAAAGGAAATTTAACACAATTCTACGCGTGCAAGGATTAAACCACTTAAACTACAAATTTATTGCACCGAAGAGCTTAATTTGGTACCGTCGATGAATCAGAAACTCCACCATTCCCAGTAAAGCCAGATACACTTACGGGATTATTATTAAACAATTATTTTGTCACATAAGTATCTAATTTTTCTTTAGAAAAACAAATGAAAATGGCTTGAAAACTTTAAGGCTATCTCCAACCAATGATTGGCCAGAGGGTTCGTTTTAGCCATCTGGCCCTCCAAGATTCTCTAAGATATTAATATGTTAATGAACAGTACAAGACCATATTTGCCTCCGTCTCCAACCGAGGGCCAGAGGGCCATAGGGCTCGTTTTAGCCCTGTCACGAAAAACCGTCTTCAACTGAGGGCCAAAGGGCCATAGGGCCAAACATAATTTATTATTTAAATTTAAAAACTACAACAACTTAAATTCAAATCCAACAACATAAATTTAAAAACTACAATGATAACTAGCTCAAAAAACCAAAAAAATTAGAATTTAAATTTAATGAATGGTTTAGGTATTTATAAGGAAAAAAAAAATTAGAATTTTTAAGAATTTTAAATAAAAAAAGTTGGGCCAAAAAATCCAAAAAATAAAAAATAAAAAAAATTGAATACAACGGCTAGCTGACTAGCCGTTGCATTCAAAATTTTTATTTAAACAATCATGTCGGTTATAACCGACAGGAATACATTTAATTTTTAATATAAATATATTCCTATCGGTTATAATCGACAAGAATGCTATATTTTCTGGCCAGTAGCCAGCCCTCTAGCCTTCTCCGATTCCATGGGGCCCTCTCAGATTTCACAGCCCTCTGGCCTAGCCCTCGGTTAGAGACGGTTTTCGGGCTATTTTCGGCCCTCTGGACCCTTCAGTCGGAGATGACCTAAGTTTTAACGATAAAGACAAAATAAAGGGTAAATTGAATAGTACCATAATTGACTTTTTAGTGTAAAAATGTGGTTTTTCGTTAAAGTGAATAATACCGGAAGTTTTTCGTTAAAATTCTCTTCTTCTTTGGTCCAAACACGTGTGCATTATTGTTTAACACTCAATAATGTTCTTACTGTAGCTAGTTGATGGTAAGCTATGATTCGTGTACAAGATATGTGGCGTGAGGAATCCGCTGGTGCAGTTTGACATTTAGCATTAGAAATCTCACTGTATATATGGGGACGGCCAATATGGTGAAAACGAAACCCTAATTTTCAATTATTGTAACACCTTGTGAGTGGAAACGATTGATGATGTATCCACGGCCAGTAGCTGATCGCCATCTAGAAAAAAAAAATAGCTGAAAGCATGAATAATTTGTTAGCTTTATTCGACAGGTAAGCTCGAATAAAATAATCACAATGCAGAAAAGATCTATTAAAATGGCTTATTAATTGGAGTCATGGATAGTTAACTTGCTAGGCTTAACCTCCAATTTCAGCTATAATATTCACAAATTGACATGGCGTGCGGCAACACGATTGAGTTACGTGTTTTAAAGATTGAGCAGTGACATGGTGCTGTTGGAATATTTAAATATGATCAAGAGCTTCGGCTGTTCGCGAACGAGAACTCTGAAGGAATATTAAATAACGATTTGACTAAAAGAGCTTAAACGGTTGAGAGGTAAGTTTTAACAATGTATTTTAACGTAATCCTAAACCGGCTCTTCACGAACGAGAACTTTAACACAATGTTATACGAACGATTGAACTGTAAATGAGCATAAATTGTTAAAAATAAGTCAACAATGTATGTCAAACTCCCGTAACACTAAACCCTAATCAAACACTGAATATGAGTTTGCAGTTTGCTTATATGCAAGAGAGTTTGAGGGAAAAAAACAAGATTTTAAAGCATTTATATACAAAAACAGAAAGCCTGTCATATTTTCTATCAGATTAAGCTATGAAAACGTCGTAAGAGATTCTACAATTATAGAAGGAACCGAATCCTAATGTATGATGAGGACAAATTGAACGATTCACTTGGTTAAACATAATCTTATCGTTTGTTTTACGTCTTAATTGTAAGGCCAAGTGTAAAAAGGGTTTCACTTTTTAGCGTTTGGCCTCTATTTCAACAAGGATATCATACAAACAACGACTAAATCCATAAAATATAACATCTTGATTAGGATCTGTTAATTTTTTAAGGTCAGCGTGGTGCACAACTGAGTTTGGAGCTTTGCTATGATGGAATTTCAGCTGAAAAGCAGAGAGGAAATGGTAGTTGTGAAGGTCATAAGTAATTTGGAAACAATGAGTGGTTAGGCATTAAACAAAGGAGAGAAAAAGAATATAAGATAAGATAAGCAGTGGATGAACAATTTAACATCGTTTAAGTGTACTAACTTCTTCAATTAGGAAAAAGTGATGACGATGATGGAGATGAATGATGATGATGATAGACTTGACAATTGTTAGTAATTATTTACACTCAGTGCTATTTTTGTCTCACTTGTTTTATCTTTGACATTTTGTTTTGTCTTACTTTATTTTTTGTAGCTACCGTCTGTGTTCCTAAGTATTCTATTTCGTCAATTAGGTTTAATGATGCGTTAGTTTTGCTAACATGACATGAGTTTTAGTATTTTTAACCTCGTTTTTACATTTGGGACATCTAAAACTGCAAAAATCATTTTGGCAACAAAAATTGAAAAAAAAAAAACTTCCACCAAAGTTTTCTCAAAACATGATAAGCTCAATTTCTCAGGAATTGTCATTAAACTCAAAATGTCTTTGACGTATTCTTATATTCATTGTTAAAATGGCCAAAGGACAAAGAATCCCTGAATAAAGAAGCTTATAGTTAGGTGAAAATTCTATAAAAATAGGTTTATGACGGTTTCCATAGAATTTTGGAAAACTGGTTAAAACAGTAAGGATATTGTAATTCTTTTTTTTTTTTTTTTTGTGAATATTATAAACCAAACAAACAAAATTATTCAAAACTCAACGTAAATATCAAGAACTAAAGTTACATTTTAAAATGACACGCTATCAGAAAAAGATCACGATGAATAAAACAAGAGAACCCGACTCTTCAATCCTAATTTTAAAAGTACAAATTCTTCCAAACAAGCATTGAACTAGAAAACTAAACATTGTACACATATAATGTGGTTCTCCAAAAAAAAAAAAAAAGGAAAATGCCAAGGAAATCATGTTTTAAATCATATTTTGTAGACCACAAGATGTGAAGGTTGATATCATTAAAAAAAAATCAACCATCAACCGTCGCATCCTGTAATTTACCAAACATAGTTCAAGTGGATGATCTTCCTAGCATTTCCGAAAAATACCATGAGACCTTATTTCACTTACTCATCTAAGACATAACATGTGAGAATGTTGATAAAACTACTCTAAAGGCTAAAAAGCCCAAGCCTAAGGGAAAGTCCGATCCACAAAGCTTTACCCAATTTAATCCTAATGGGCCTAAGAGGCCTCATTGATAAATTGACGAAATGGGCTTTAAAGTGGGTCGAACAAGTTTTTCTTTTGTTTTGGTCAGAGTCAAACCAACTCGTTTTCGCTGGTTGCCACTTGCCATCTCAAATCTCTCTCTCTCTCTCTCTCTCTCTCTCTCTCTCTCGAAACGATTCATCGTCTCCGGCCAGCTCCGCTGAACTCACCCCTTCGTTTTCTGAAACCGGTTAGTCATCAGCTTCGTCCTCTCTGATTGGTTGGTGAGAAAGATTCGGTAAAAAGATACATAATTTGTAGGATTTGACAAATATGTAAAGCTACTGATCTGTTTGGTTACTTGTGAATAGAAGTAGATTGTTGTTTGTGTTAGAATAAATCTTGTGTACAATCCCAATTTTGTTAAACACCCATTTGTGGTTTTCTCAATTTAAAGTTCTGTAGGAATCCAATCAAATATACACACTTATATGCATATATATATGCGTGTGTGTGTATGCATATAGATGGGCAAGATCACAATGAAGCTCTGACCTTTACAGTCAACTCCATCCTACTAGATTTTTTTATCCTGGAATTTCTTATGCTGATTTACTCATGTTTTTCTTTAATATTTGGGATATGGTTTTGTTGACTTTTCTGTGACCTGAGATATCTTAATCTGGCACTAATCTTGTGCTTGATGTTTGTAGATTCCAGAGTTATGAATTGGGTTCAACGAAAGATCTATCTTTACAATGTGACATTTGGGCTCTATATGTTGGATTGGTGGGAGCGTTATCTCTTCAGTATCCTATGTTTTACCTTCTCTTCTCTTCAGAATGCTGGATATTTTGTCTTGTTTTAGTTTATAGAGAGCATGTGGATTTACATACTTTCAATGAGTGAACTTATTTCCTTGATCTGGTACATTTAGAGTATACAATTAGGAATGTTTGATAACTATTTCGTTTTTAGTTTCTTGTTTTCATTTTTGTGTTAGATATAGAGGGAAATACATGGGAGAAATGAGGGATATAGAAGAGTGGAGCCGAGGAAAGATGGTGGGGGAAATGTAAAATAATATACAGGGAGACACAAAATGAAAACCAAAAACCTAAAACCAATTCTGGTTGTGTTCACTTTCTAAATTTTGTTTTCGTTTATTCTTCTTTATTTCTGTACCTCTCTCCCATCACACTTCTTCATCCCTCTTTTCCCTCATATCTCAAGCACAAAAAGTGAAAACTGCAAACTAAAAAGCAAAATGGTAATCATAGGGACCCTAGCATTTCATGAGCTCATAAGAAATTCTTCTTGCTGTTATGATTTGGAAAAGTGTCTCATTTTTAGACAGTTGCTTTGATCATCGTGTGCTAAGAACTGATTCTATTTTTTAGCCTGTTTAATCCTTTCTACCATAATGTCACATATAAGTATCATAAAAATATGTGTTTTTGGTCATCAACGCCTGGTGCAATATAGCAGGAAACTGCATGTTGAGGAAGTAATGCCATTGAGGATTCAATATTTTCACTGTATATCCCACCATTCTGGGTCAAATTTAATTTGGAGTTCTCTCCCTTCCTTTCTGCTGTTTATTGCATTTGTCAGTTCCTTAATCTTAACAGATACTTTGGTTGTTGTGTTACTGTGGTTCTTGTGTTACAATGGCTCACGATATTTGATGGAGTTTGGGAAGAGGTAACATTCTAACCGTTTTCTCTTGTCGGATATCATTTGGTGGTAGCATCTTATCATTATGTTATACTATACCTTGTAGTATGTACTTTGCTATGACGCATTTGGATGTGATGGTATCATGATCCAATAGATAATGTGGTATTTGGATGCCATCTAAAAGTGAATCAGTTTACAGCTCTTGGTTCAACCTCCTTTGTGACACTGAAATTCTCTAGTTTATGTATCCATTTTGGAATAGAAGAATTGCCTTCTTTATTGCAGGCTTTGCAGCCACTCAACCCTCTTTTGTAGTGCGCAGTTTCAAAAATTCTTGAATTAGTTGTTGTAGTTGAATAGATTATTAGACTTCATCTGAATCTCCATTATCACTTTTACACATGAGAAGTGGTTTCTTTTGCTATGAATTCAAAGCACCATAACAAAATAATCTGAACATTATGAAGGGTTTATCATTTTCTGTTACTATCCAGGAATTGTGGCAATTTTATGCTAAAATAGTTCTGAGGTTTCTCTAGTATTTTTAGACTTCATCACATGTGCTTGTCGGGCCATTAAGAAACATACACAAAGAACTACATAAGGTGAAGTTGTTTATGGATTTCCAAAAAGACTGCCTAATTTGCAGGGGTGTTCTTCGAATAAAGGTCCCAGATTATATTCGAATCCTTTAGGATGTAGTTTAGACTTCGAATGCAAAATTTTCATCAACTGATTGTTGTGCTTTGTAGAAGTCCCTAATGAACACTTCCATACAAGTTAATCTCCTTTCAGCTTATCTATCAGATATTTATGGACTGTCATTGGTTGAACTGAAAGATTTAGTGTAGTAACTGAAAGATTGTAATGTAGCTTTAACTTGTCCTTCGAATATAGTGTCAGGCGTCTATGGTGAGGCCTGGACTCTGGATGAAGTGTTGACTTGGACTGTTCAGATTGATGACTGAGTGATGATTTGAATGCCGATGCACCTTGTATTACACTGTATTTAGATTTGACTTGTGAACTGTCGATTTTGTGAGAGCAATTGTGCATCTCCTACACCATTTTTCTCTTGTTTTAGGCGTCAGTTATCACTTACTATAGCGGACAGTTTTACTTCCTGCTGTATGGCATAATTCTAACAGTCGATTTTTCGTTACATGTTGTGATTCGTTTTGCTTTCCACTCCCTGAAAGCTTTGTTATTTATTTGTTTTCCCATCTCTGTATTCTCCATATCCGTTTGGCTGAGAGCTTTCTTAATATTTGTATTTTAGCAACCAAAAAAAAAAAAAGTTACATTTTGATTCAAACTATTGAAAGGTGAAAGTGCACTTTGAATTTGAACGTAGACCAATTAGAACGTGTTTTTAAAGTGTGGCAAATTTGCCCCATGAATCTTAATGTTTGTTCCACTTTGGTCCTCAAATTGTTTTCTTTTCCGCCCAAATTGGTCCCTCAACCATTTCAAGGACAATTGTAATGGGGGCTATCATTAAACACTTTGTTGTAATAGCTTAGGGAACGTGTGATAAGCGTGTGCTGTGTCCTACATCGGTGCACTCTTAGGTTGATCGACGCTTTACAAACGATTGTGTCCCTTGTCAACACACTTAAATGCATCTCGCTATCAAGATATGATGCGATGTAGGATCGGCACACTTTGTATCTTACTAATCTACTCTTGTCCGTCCACATAGTCATTACTCACTAAACGTTGTTACAATATACTGAGTCTATTTTGATAAAAGTACATGGATTACTGAAATGTTCGTTAACTAGTGGCCATGGCCTTTGTAATGAAAACCCCTTTTTGTACTTAATTAACACACATTCAAAAGTTTTACTAATCAAATTAAGACAACAAAAAAATGTTGAAAGACCAAAGTGAAAAAAGTCCAAAACTTTAGAAGACAAATATGTAATTAACCACTTATCAAAAGGAAAAAGGAAAAAAAAAACTCTAGGGGCACAAGGACCATTTGGTAAGTTCACCCAATGGAGAGGAAGGAAATTAGGGTTTCCCCCGACCCTCTCCTCCCTCTCGGTCCTCTATATATTGAGGCATCAGAGCAGCCGCTTCCTCCATTCTGAAATTTGCTACCCTCTTCGCTCTTCGCATTTTCTGTGTTTTCTCCATCATTTCCATCCAAAATTTTTTGCTGGTTTTTTTTTTTTTGGGAATCCGATGTGATACGAAATAGTTGTGTGCTTCACTATCTGGTCATTGCGGATTTTCAATTCCCAAATCGACTCGTTCCCTTGAAGCAAAATCGATCGTGTTGCTTCGGTCTTTTTTTAATTATCTCCCTCAAGTCTGCTACTTTTGGGAGATTCAGAACGCTGAAGCAGCTATATTTCAAATAACCCACTTCATAAATTCAATCCTTTTTCTTGGGTTTTGATTCTTTTTGTGATTTATTGGGTATTTTTCTTAATTAAATAAAAAGGGAAAGGCTTTGAATTTCGTATGAGCATGCACTGAAATTCGCTTCGGTGCGTGTTAATTTTGAGATGAGCCGAGAAAGATGTTCTCCTCGCTATCTAATGCCGCAATTTCTGTGTGGTATTTGGACGTCGGAGAACTAAATCCAATCCCCCCACTTCCCTTTCTTTTTTCATTCGATATTTTATTTCGTTTTAATTTGTATCTGTAGAAATAATTTGATCTGTTTCAATCCTTACAAGCTGCTCTTTTATATTAGGAACTGGAACTGCAAGTGCCCAGAAGAAGAAGAAAAAAGCCCAGAATTTGAGTGCTTTTATGAATATTGATTTTAATTTAGGGGTAAATAACTAAATTGCACAAAAATTAACAAGTACGTGGTGCCTTTTGTAAAATTGTAGAAGAAAATATACTGAAAATAATATCACAAACTACTGGTAAAAGTTTGTAAATAAAAGTAAAACGCAAAAAAAGCTCCAAAGAGATGAATTACTCCACTCTCTTGGGCTTCAAGAGGAAGGGGGTAAATGGTTAGTTTTAGGTGGTCTTGGGGCCTCCATTCCCAAAACAGGCACGGGCTTTGGTTGAGAAAACGGTCATTTTTAGTCAATTTGGATTTCACAGGATTTTAAAGAATTTTAATAGATTTTATAATCTTATGTGGATTTTGTCGGGTTTATATGGATTTCTATCATAGGATTTCTATGAACTTCTTTCATAGATTTCTCATTTGAATTGAGGTATAGTTTTGCGCTCATGTGGGTTCATTTCAACCGAGTTAGGGCTTAACTCGAATGATACAGCCTTGGTCCATTAATATTTAGTTCATCGGTGAGGAGAGGAGCTTGTTTTGTGAGATTCACCATACCCATATGAAGCATTTTGATTTGGGTGCAGTTAGGACCAGAAAAGAGCATACCATAAGAATGTCAGATAAAAAATGGCTGATGAAAACATTGGAGAAAATGATAATAGAGAAGAACTTTATTAGCTCAAAATTACTTCGACATATACATTTCATGACAACGAATTTTCTTTGCACAAATTAAAATTTTTCACTAGGATTTGGTCAGTTATAATTTGCAAGTGCAAGGGCCGGTATGTTGTGATTGCATAAAATCTCACTTATAAGAATCCTTCAAAATCTATGACATTTTGAATACCAACAGATTTGTATGCACTTTTAAAATGTTAATTGATTATACCTAGATTTGGATGTATTCTTTTAAATCATGTCAAATCCTACCTTGACTACACCATAATTTCAAAGTCTTTTAAAATCCTTCTTTAAAATCCTAATTGACTACACTTTGATTTCAAAATCTTTTAAAATCCTTCAAAATCCCCTTAGAGTTGCTCTAACTGATTTACTCGATAATGTCACAAATTCAACCCTTATTTACATGAAGAATGTCTCAATCTATCCAAGAAAGTTTTATGAATGTAGTAGCATGCAAATTGGTGTTTCATCGAGTCTAAAGTGCCAAGTTATATTGTATGCCTGTTGACATATGGCAACATATGGAATAAGGCTAACAACTACCTTGTCCAGTGTCCATAGAGACAATTCATCAAGCAATTGTATGACAGATTTCAAGGGCATCTAAAATTTTCGAAGGGTAGCATCCAATTTTTCTATGGAGAATTTCTGAACTTGGAGAGGGACTAGCCGACCCACCTTGTCTAAGGTGGATCCACCCCTAGTCTCAAGTTCGACAAATAAATGCACGAACAACTGTGTCGTTATAATGAGCCCAATACGAAGTTTTGGCCTTATTATGAGTAAGTTGACATCCAATGTTAAAATGTATGTGTAAATTGTAAATTCCTGTGTCAAATCGAATCAAAAGGTTAAACTAAACAAAATCAGATTGCACTCCTCTATATCACTTTTTAAATCAAATAAAAAAAACTCGCACAATTCATCAAAATCAAACAAAAATTTGAATTTGATCATAAGTTAAAATCATAATTTACCACTTCGAATTGAAACTCCAACATAATAGAGTCATCGACATCAAATCAGGTGCTATTTTCTCCTCCTGTTATCAGTAGTGGTCGGTTTTTGCGCTCGCTTAAGGATTATGAGCGTTATCTTTCCATTTCGTTAGATGTAGTTATGTCGAACAAGTTGTGTATTATCTTTATGTTGCATTCATAATTGTGGAATTGTATTCCTGACCGACGATATTCTTGGTTTTGTTTGATTAATGATCACTTATCATCTTCAAAAAAGAAGAAGAAGATCAAGGGAATATAATATAACATACTGCTAATGCTTGCTTCAATTGGCTTCTTTATCTTATGGTCGATCGCAATAATAAATTTGTTCTTGTTCTAGTATAGGATTAGGTGTGGGAGAGGTGAATTCAACGAAAGAGATTTTTTTGAGCTTAAAATAATTAGAGAAGAGAGTTTTTAGAACAAAATCATACGTTTAGCAATTCAATTGACATACAAATATGGCAACATTCAAAATTCAAACTACACGGTGGCACAGTTTCAAAATTTCACACCAAAACAAGTGCAAAACCGGAATTTCAAACTTCTACATGTTGACCGTTAGTAAACGCGCACAGTTTCCCAACGGTCATTTCTCAGTCATTTCCGAGTCAGCTCCCTCCCCACAAGGACAGCAGCATCGGCAAACGACGACGACCTTGTTTGCAACGGTAACTTCGCGGAAGCTCATCAAACCACCAATCAGGGGAGAGAGAGCGCGGGGGCCCACACTTTGAATGACATCATTAGCTTAGCTTAGTTAGTAAGTAGTCAAACACCGTATTGAAATTAATTAACGTGTTTGACACCTTAATTATCTCCTCCAGTTTTAGTGTTATCCGACTTACCGGGGGGAAGGGGCCCGGTGTTGTTTCATTGGACGGATTTGCCCCTGCGGACTAAAGCACTCCAACTGAACGGTAAAAGGCTTGTGAAATAAGATAAACATAACCAAACTATAACAATAATAATCTTGAAGAAAAATGTCTTGGATTATTTTTGGGTCTAGAAACCGAATTGGAATTGACTTGGATATATTCAAATTGCTTGGGTTTTGAGACCGTTTCATCCAAAAATCTAGAACCATAATTTGCTCAGATAATATTAGTTTTAATTTTCAAAACGAATAACCCTGTAGAGATAAAAAGAAATAATTATTTTTAACATTAAAAATAAGTGATTGTCACCGAAAGAAAGATAGAACGATCAGTGGAACAGACTTGGAGCCTAAATTGTTCCCAATGCATTGTAATTCACGGAATGGAGCTAACCAACTATTATCAGCTCTGCAAAACATTAATCATGCACTCCCCCGCCAATGTAGAAGATGATGAAGAAAATGTGCATAATGATTATAGTGCTAATTCATTGGTTTTACATATATGTACAAATTCTAGAGAAAACAAAGAAAAAGGAAAACATGATTAATTAGACTCCAATACCAGGATTTAATGAGTGATTAGCTTACCTATTAAAAAGAAGCTTAAATAATTCCAGATAAATTAATAATCATGACTAAGATAACATGCTAACAAACGTTGAACATGATTAATAATAATTTTTAAGCTTTAAGAAATTCAGTCTTCTTGTGAAATAGCATAGAGAATTCACTTAATATTTACAAGGAGTTCGTAGACGTCCACCAAAACTCCATAAAATACTTGTTTGTCCAAAATGAAACAAAAGAAATTCCAATCAAAACAAGATGAAATTGTTGAATAACCAAAACTTTAATCTCAAGCAACGACTAAAAGTCAAAGCAAATCCAAAGAGGGGCAAAATCGACATTCTAGAAGTAATGCCCCAAATAACTGGTCAAAACACTGTTTAAAAATAGCCCATTGGGGGCCCACAAACACGGAACAATGCGTGGACCCCACCCCGTGGAGCCACCTTTATATAATCAAAATTCTCTTCAACCAAAATTTTAAATCCAAACAAACGCAGAAAAGGAGGAAAAAAAAAAAAAAAAAAACACGAACTGTCTTTGGAATCGGAATAATAAAACCGAAAAGGGGAACATGTCGTGCTCCGTCGCAGTTGCTAACTCCCCGATGTTTTCTCCGCCGTCGTCTCTGTTCTGCAACAAATCCTCCATGATCTCTCCGGCCCCAGAAACCCTAACTTTACCGCCGCCGCCGCCGTCGGCCTTATCACCGTCGGGATTGGCTTCGTGTTCGTCTCCGTCGTCGCCGTTTCGGATTCGGATCCCGAATCCGCCAAGCGGGTTGTCGTGTTCGGGTCCGGGGTCTCCAGTGACGCAGCTGAAGAGGAAGAGGCCGGCGAAGCTTTGTATTCCGGTGGTGTCCTCGGGATTTGGGACTGGTCCGCCGACGCTGTCGACGGCGGGTAGGAGAGAGATGATGGAGGAAGATAGAGAAGGTTACTACTACGTGTGTTGCAAGAGAGGGAGGAGAGAGGCTTTGGAGGATCGCTACTCAGCTAGTCTTAATCTTGAAGGTGATTCCAAACAGGTAATTCTAAAGTTGCTCTCTTTTTTTTCTTAATTTTTTTAATTGGGATTAATTTGTTTTTATTGAGCTGAATTTTGAGAAATTCGAATGCTTGATGTATGATTTCCGGAAATTTGAAAGCTTTGGGCAGAATTGTGAGAAATCAAGTTGAGGTTTTCATATAAACCATAACTAATTTAGTTTAATTTTTAATTAAAATTCTGTGTTATTAGTTTCTGAAATGATGGAAAATTTTAAAACCCTTTTCTGAAATGGTGGAATTTGAATTCTATGTTAGGAGTTTGGAGAATATATAGACTATTTTGATCTATTAAAGCAGAATGGTGCTTCATGTTTTACGACTTTACTGATTGTAGTTAGTCGAATTAGCGGTTTGATAATTGGAATTCGAGATGCTGAAACTTTATTTCTGCAGGCGATTTTCGGTATATTTGATGGGCATGGAGGTGCAAAAGCTGCTGAGTTTGCAGCAGAGAACTTGTCAAAGAACATTTTAGATGAAGTTGCGAGGAGGGGTGATGATGAAATTGGGGAGGCAATTAAGCATGGTTATCTGAATACGGACTCTGATTTTCTTAAAGAGGATTTTCGTGGTGGATCATGCTCTTTAACAGCTTTGATCAGGAATGGTAACCTGGTTGTGTCCAATGCTGGCGATTGTCGTGCTGTCTTGAGCAGTGGAGGTGCTGCTGAGGCCCTCACATCTGATCATCGGCCATCAAGGGAAGACGAGAAAGCCAGAATTGAGAACTTGGTAAGCATTTGAGCTCTTCTCTACCAAATTGTTATACATTATGGTTACTTCAGATAAAGCCTTATTCGAATTGGGATTGATAGTTACGGTGAATTTGTTTTTGCAGGGTGGATATGTCGATTTATGCCATGGTGTTTGGAGAATTCAGGGGTCTCTAGCTGTATCCAGAGGAATCGGAGATAGGCAGCTTAAACAATATGTAATTCCAGAGCCAGAGACCAAAGTACTCAGAATCAAACCCGAACATGAGTTCATAATCATGGCCTCAGATGGATTATGGGATAAGGTATATTAATCCCCTTGTCATGATTGTGCTTTTGAATCAATAGAGTTCCATACATACTATTTGGATCAAATTAGTCCTCATCAACTAAATTGGATTTATTTCTTTGGTTTCAGGTTAGCAACCAAGAAGCAGTGGATGTTGTTCGTCCTTCATGCTTAGGCACTGACGGGCAAACTTTGGTGGCTTGCAAAAATCTGATAGAACTATCTACATCACGCGGCTCTTGTGACGATATTAGCGTGATGGTAGTCGAATTGAGACCTTACTTATAATTTTCGGCTTAATGAGAGGTGGTACATCGGAAAGATCATCGTGTTTGGACTTCGTAGTAGCCATATCTATGCTAAATTATTTAACAATCGTAGCTGCAATTTTTTTAACACCCGTAGAAGGTAGATCGAGCTTAGTCATTGACTTGTATAATTGTTGCAGCCCTATTCTTTAATTCTTTGTAGAACTTGACTTAGTTCAAGATGTTGATTAATTCCATTCTTTTAGAATAATTTACGCATTAGAATGTTACAAACTCTCTGACCTTTTCTCCCCTTGATTCGGTATACGACGTCGACGGTTGAAAACTTGATATCAACATCCGTTGTGCGTAAGACTTTGTCTTTGTGTTTAATTTTTTATGGGATGTGTTAGGATTTGAGAATATGTTCTGGAAATAGAACTACTCGGTCAATGTTGAGTCAACACCCTAAGGCTTCTAAACCTCATCCCTATGATTCCATCATTTATCATTTTTTGGGTCTTAGTTGATGCTGCATTTTGTTGTCCAAGGCTCCATCTTTCTAAGAACCTCTCTATATACGTGGTAAATGTTTGATCGATTTGTTGTCAATATTTGATTTGAAAATGTTTGAGCGGTTGTTGTCTATTTCATTTGAAATTCGTAAAATGGTCGTGTCGGTAAATCACACCAAGTCCACTCTACACTTGCCTACTCGAGCCCAGACTGGGTCTCCACCATAATGTACCAGCCTCAACCAAGGTTCACCCAAACCACACCAAGTCCACTCAAACCACCACCATCCACCACCCTCCCCTTCTCACCCAAACCACACGACCATTTTTGGGTCTTAGTTGATGATGCATTTTGTCCTCCAATGCTTTGTCTTTCTAAGAACTTGTCTAGATACGTGGTTAATGTTTGGTCGGTTTATTGTCAATATTTGATTTGAAAATGTTTGAGCGGTTTGTTGTCAATATTTCATTTGAAATTCGTAAAATGGTTGTGTCAGTAAATCACGCTAAGTCCACTCTACACTTGCCTACTCGAGCCCAGACTGAGTCTCCACCATAATGTACCAGCTTCAACCAAAGTTCACCCAAACCACACCAAGTCCACTCAAACCATCCCCATTCACCACACTCCCCTTCTCACCCATCCCCACCTCCCTAATCTTTCTTTAAGTCTCTTAGGCTATCTCCAACCGATCCGACCAAAAGGCCATAGGGCCGAAAATAGCTCAAAATGACACGAAAACCATCTCCAACTGAGGGCTAGGCCAAAGGGCTCGTAGGCCCCATTGGGCAAAAAAAGGAGAAAATGGCCAACTGCTGACCCAACCCAGCCAGCCAGCCGGCCCCGGGCCGGGCCAAACATTTGAATCTAATGGCTACCTAATGTCAGTTAACCATTGGGTTTGATTTTTTTTTTTTTGGTACAAATTTAAAAAATATATATTTAAAAATTCCTATTTTTTCCTATAAATATCTAAGCCATTCCTACACCATTTCTCATATTATTTTCACAATTCCATACTATCTTACACCATTTCTCTCCTACAACATTTCTTACCTCTTTCAACAATCTTTGCTTCAATTTTTTTCAATAATTTTCAAATGGGTGGATCTGCATTGAAAGGTAGGGCATGGACCCGAAAAGAAGATGAAACTCTTTGCAGGGCTTATAGATGGGTTTCGGAAGATAGTGTGAGGGAGAGTTCTCAAACAAGTGAAGGTGTTTGGACTCGTACGTCCGAAAAATACTATAAGTTCTACGAACGCACCACTCCACCAAATACCCGACATCACGAGAGTTGTTCTTCAAGATGGAAAAATCATCTTCATCCAAGTTTGAATAAATGGCATCAACCAGTGTTAAAGGCTGAAAGCAGACATGAAAACAGAGCCAATTACTACGACAAAGTAAGTGTTTTCACAAGTTATTTTTAATATTTAATTATATTACATTTAATTTCATAAACTAATTTCCTTTAATTTTTGTAATTATATTTTCTAGTTACGCCAAGCGGAGGAATTGTATATGGAGGACAACTTGAAACCCTTTAATGATCACGGTTGTAGGGAAATTTGTAAAGGGTGGGTGTTATTTGAAAATCCACCTCAAGAAAAAGTTGCTCATACGCCGGTGTTCGGAAATGCATCCTCAAATGCAGTTGGGGATGAACATGAATCTCCTACCATTCAAGAAACAATGGTAGAAAATCTGTCTTCGGGTGAAGGTTCCATACCTAAGGTTATGGGACAAAACAAGGCCCGAAGGTTGAAGGAAAATGGCAAGGCAAATGATGATTACGCTGTTCAACAGGAAGTGACGACGTCATTGTGATTAATGGTAAAGCAAAATGCCTTTGCCGCAGAAGAAAGGAACCGTAGACACGAAGAACGGGCAAAACAAATTCAAGAAGAGATGGATGATAGGAACATGCAAAGGAACACTTTGGATTACACTCCAATGAGTTTGGCCTATTGAAAAAAAAAAGGAAATTATGGTCCGACGGCAGTTGTTTACATCCGACTATAATCCTACAATAGCGGATGATGATGATGATTATAGACTTTAAATTTAAGTTGTTGTAGTTTTAAAATTTAAGTTGTATTTTTTAAATTTTAGTTGTAGTTTTTAAATTTAAGTTGTTGTAGTCTTTAAATTTAAATAATAAATTATGTTTAGCCCTATAGCTCTTTGGCCCCATCGGTTGGAGATGGTTTTTTGTCACAGAGCTATGTTTGGCATGTGGTCTCGGTTGGAGATGGTAAGAAATATGGCCTGATACTATTCATTAAAATATTAATTTCTTATAGGGCTATAGGGCTGAAACGAGTCATCTGGCTCTCCTTCGGTTGAAGATGGCCTAAGGCTGTCAGCCCAAGCACGAGTGAGGGTAGCTGATCTTAGTAATAGTGGTGAAGCAAATAGCAAGTACATGGTTGACATATTTGGGCAGAATCATCCTTCTGTAGCCAGCGAAGTGTTTGAGTGCATGAATTGTGGTTGGTCTATTATGGTTGGAGGTTTGCTTCTCATCTGGAGAAATGTATGGGAAAAGTAATTATCCGTCATCTTTTTAGATAGTAGAAATTTCCCCAGCTTTTATTTGTGAAGTCTTTAAACAAGAGACTAATAGACATTGTGATTTATTGCTCGACCACAGGGTAGAAATGCTTGCCTCAAGGTGACAAGAAGTAGCACGGTTGCACAGACTTGTAATTCTCGAGGTAACCCTACTTCCACATACTCAATATATTCAAGTTCCAACAGCACAAGCTGGTTATCAAATGGAGCATCCAATGTTGCTGGTGAGTCGAATGGTGCATTGGAAGAGCCATGAAACAGTTTAAGCACTGCTAGCTCCCCAAGTTACTTGGATGCAATGGATCTTGCATACTGGCTTAGTTCGTGATGATTGTGGAAAGTGACGCCAAATTTTGAATATCAGTCTATTGGTTTAGTATATGATCGAAGGAATTATGTGCTGACATTTGTTTTCCCGTACGAAGAATAGCGCCTTGTACACAACATTCTTGACCACATCTTGAATGATAATTCTAAATCTCATAAAAGCTGATTCTGTCTCCAAATTAAATATAACTGTTTGCTCAATAGAAGGTATCAAAATTATGAATACAAACACTAGAAAGATCTTGTATTGAAGGGATTAATTGCAGACTTAATTAGGTACTGACACTTACTCATTCTCTATTTTGTGAATGATAACATTGTGTTGTTTAACTCAAAGCCTCGAGAACTGCCATTAATATCGATTTCTTTTTGGTTTGTTTTTTACTGGATTTCCAATAACCCATTATTTTTTGGTAACATGCAATAACACATTATTGAGTAACCATGAAATTGGCACTGAGGTGTGATACTTTTCTTTCTTTGTTCGGGATTTAATCACATGTATTTTCGTTGAGCAAGGTTTTACGAGATCACTCTTTTGCTGATGCCACACTTGTATCTTAATTGAGTCCATCTCATGATAAAAAAATAAAATAAAAAACAATTGTTGTTCATGTGTATTGTACAAGTTATGTGTCAGTGGATCCCATGTAAGCACAAAGAAAGCTTCAAAAGGAGTACATATCATCTTCAGATCTTAAAAAACAGAGTCCAATGATCAAATAATCCGGACCATTGAAATTTGATTCAACGGCTACAAATTAGAGGCCCCGCTAAAAGTTATAATAATTATAACCGTTAGATCAAATTTTAATATTTCAGATCATTTGATCCTTAGATTCTGTTTTTTTTTTTTTAAATCTGGAGATGATCTGTACTCCTTCAAAAGTTGTCCCCAAAAAAACCTTTAGTGACAGCAGAGGAATATTCGAAGGTTGATTACGAGAGATTGATCAAAGACTAATTACAAATTGAGCTGGAAAGTGGAAACCGAAAGCGTAAAGGAAAATAAAGATTTCGGTAATTTTTGGGATTACCGATCAATGAGATATGGAAACCAATTCCACTTTTTACAGACCAATCTCAAGTTTTCTTTTGGTCAATTGACCAATCACAAGTTCATTACAAATTGGGATGCATCTGTATAAATACAAGAGTTTTTATCACAAATAATTTTTGAAATTGATCTATCTTATTAAAATGGTCATTGGAAATTTGGAATCGAGAATCAATTAATATAGTTCTTTAAAATAATTGTTGTAAATCAATATAGTCATTCCGTTAAAAATTCTACATGTTTAATTAAATATTAGCATATAGATTAAAAATGTTGAAAGAATAAAAAATAATAAATTTTTATGTCAAAATTAAAATTTTTTATTCTCCCGTTGTGTTCCTCTCGCAGGCTTGGCTGCCATGGCAGCCCTGCCCACTCCAAGCAGAAGCAAAAAAATCCCATAGGTGTGGAGGGTTTTGCCGAAATTTTATGCTACTTGTCGGAAATATTGGTTTGGGGCCGTCAATGTAGGCCTCGGGTGCACAGTAGATTGGAGAATATGGTGAGGAGAAGATGGTTTGGTTTGACTGGATTTTTTCATGGTAATTTGACTGGGTTGTAAGGTGGCGCCGATTATGTTTGAATGGGTCGAGTGCCAAAAATCGAGCCACCCGAGTAAAGACTGCCATGGCAGCCAAGCCATCTTGATGAAGATGACGGGAGAATTTTTTTTTAATTTTAATTTCGACATTAGAAAGATTATATTGATCAATTTTCAGTTTCAAAAATCATTTTGATAGAATGAATTAATTTCATAAATAATTTTTAATAACACAAAAATTAATATTAAATTATAAAATGATAAAGAATTGAAAATTTTCAATTTTAAAAAATACACTAAACATTTATCTTCTCTTTTTATTATCTCACAATTTTACATGTTCTGATTTAACGTTGTCATGAGAGTACCACCAGCATTGTCATGTGATGCTACAGTGTCACCCTCCCAGAAAAGCACCAGCTGGAAACCATTAAGCAACGCCTCGCCGTTTGTGTAAATTAAAAAATTTAATGGCCGCACGATTAGCATCCACTTTGAATCAACGGCCACGATGTTGTAGGCTACCAATAAAGCGATCCAGATCTGGATCAATGGGACAACTTTTGAACCAAAAGACTAATTACAGACCAATCACAAGGTCATGGTCAACAGACCAATCGCAAGTTCTTTTTTGGTCAACTGACCAATAACAAGTTGATTACGAATTGGGATGCATCAATAATTACAATCTCAAAAGCCCTTCTTCTACATTGGGCTACTAGCAAACTAAGCAACCAAGAAAAAAATGGCTGCCGCTTTGATCGGAGAGGCTTTTCTTTCCGCTTCCATCCAGGTGCTGTGTGACAGAATTGCTTCAACCGACTTCAGTGACTTGTTCCGGCAGAAGAAGCTGGATGAACCGCTCCTCATGAAACTGAAGACGACGCTGCTCACCCTTTATGCAGTGCTCAACGATGCGGAAGAGAAGCAAATTTCAAACCCTGCTGTGAGAGACTGGCTGGACGAGCTCAAGCATGCTGTCTTCGACGCGGAGGACCTGCTGGATGAGATCGACACTGAAGCTTTGCGATGCAAGGTGGAAGGTGAAGGTCAAACCGAGAAATTAACCAAAAAGGTGTTGAACTTCTTCTCTCCTTCTCGTAGTAATTTTTATCGAAGCATGAATGTTGAGATACAAGGGTTATTACAAAGGCTGGAGGGCTTTGTGCAACAGAAAGTTGCCCTTGGTCTTACAGAAGTTGTTGGGAGGAAGGTTTCACAAAGAACTCCAACAACTTCCTTGATTCATGAACCTTTTGTATATGGAAGAGACGAAGATAAAGAAAATTTATCAAAAGTCTTGTTCTCTGACGATGCGAGCGAGGATGACGTATCTATCATCACCATTGTTGGTATGGGCGGGGTTGGCAAGACGACCCTTGCTCGAGCCCTTTACAATGATGATAAGGTGAAAGAGCACTTTGCCCTTAAATCTTGGGCATGTGTTTCAGAAGATTATGATGCTATTAGGGTGACTAAAACTCTTCTCGAGTCGGTCACTTCAAAACCTTGTAACATGACGGATTTGAATTTGCTTCAAGTTGAACTTAGAGAACAACTGAAGGGAAAGAAATTCTTATTTGTGTTGGATGACCTTTGGAATGAGAAATATTTTGATTGGAAGTGCCTCCAAACTCCTTTTACTTCCGGGGCAAGGGGAAGTAAAGTCGTCGTGACAACACGAAGTGAAAATGTCGCATCTCTCATGAAAAATGTCCCCATTCAACACTTGAAGCCTTTGTCGCATGAAGATTGTTGGATGTTACTTTCAAAACATGCGTTTGGAATCGAAAACCACAATGCACATCCAACTTTGGAAGAAATTGGCAAGAAAATTGCACGCAAGTGCAATGGTTTGCCTTTAGCAGCAGAAACACTCGGGGGTCTACTACGTTGCCAGAGAGACTTCAAGGAATGGAATAAATTGTTAAATAGTAGTCTTTGGGAGCTACCTTATGATAAAAGTGATATCCTTCCAGCCCTACGGTTGAGCTATCATTATCTTCCTGCTCAGTTGAAACGATGCTTTGTGTATTGTTCACTGTTTCCAAAAGACTATTTGTTCAAGAATGAAGATGTCGTTCTACTTTGGATGGCGGAAGGTTTAATTCCACAAGATTTTAACGGACAAAGAATGGAAGAGACGGCTAGAAGTTACTTTGACGAGCTAGTATCACGATCACTACTTCAAAAATCAGGGGAGGATGGTTTTACAATGCATGATCTTCTTAACGACTTGGGTCGGTTCATGTCTGGGGGATTTTTTCTCAGGTTGGAAGAGAGGGAATCACAAGAAGTTAAAAGACTTCGTCATTTGTCATATGCTAGGGGAGAAATTGATGCTGCTAAAAAATTTGAGCCATTAAATGGGGCGAAGTGTCTGCGGACCTTCCTACCTATCTGCATAAATGACTGGTTTGAACGTTTCTACATAAGTAAAAAGTTTCTACATGATTTGTTGCCATCCCTGAAACGTTTACGGGTCTTATCGTTGTCCCGTTATAAAAATTTTGCTGAAGTACCTGATTCTGTGGGCAATCTCATTCACCTGCGCTACCTGGATCTCTCCCAGACGGCAATTGTAAGCTTACCTGGTGCAGTTTGCACTCTCTACAATTTGCAGACGTTGCTGTTGTCATATTGTTATGCTCTCATTGAACTGCCAGCAGACATGAGAAAATTGATAAATTTACGGACGTTAACGTTGGCAGGTTGCAGCTCCCTTACTAAATTACCTGCAGATATGAGGGAATTGAGTAGTTTGCATTACCTCGATGTCAGTGGAACAAAGATAGAAGGGATGCCAGTGGAAATTGGAAGACTAAAGAGTTTGAGAACATTAACTGCCTTTGTTGTGGGGAAATATACCGGATCTAGCATTGGAGAATTAAGGGAGTTGCAGCATCTTCAAGGAAGACTTCGTATTTCAAATCTGCAAAATGTAGTTGATGTTGTGGATGCTTTGGAAGCCAATTTGAAGAATAAGAAAGAACTCAATGACTTAGAGTTGGCATGGGGTGTGGAGGATGCTGATGATTCCCAAAAGGAGAGAGATGTGCTTGACAAGCTGCAACCTTCTGCAAATTTGGAGAAACTGACTATCAGATTCTATGGAGGAACCAGCTTCCCAAATTGGTTAGGAAGCTCTAATTCCTTCTCGAACATACAGTTCATGCGGATCAGTGATTGTAAGTATTGTTTGTCCTTGCCAAGTTTTGGGCAGCTGCCCACTCTTAAAGATCTATGTATCAGAAGGATGAAATTTGTTAGGACGGTTGGTGTTGAATTCTATGGTGATCTTAATGGAGCTTCTGTAATTCAGCCCTTTCGGTCTCTGAAGACGCTGGAGTTTGAGGAGATGCCAGAGTGGGAAGAGTGGGAGAATTGGCGACCGAGTCCAAGTGGAGCTTCTGTACTTCAGCCCTTTCCTTGTCTCCAGGAGATGATAATAAGGGATTGTCCGAAGCTGAGAGGATACTTGCCCAATCGTCTTCCATGCTTGAAAACACTTTGGGTGTCTGGGTGTGGATATCTACGTCTGCATGATGAATGGGCCAGTAGTAGTAGTAGTGGTCTTAACATGGACTACTTACAGAATTCATTGGTAATAGGTATTGGAGGATGCCCAGGTCTGTTACCATTAATAGAGAGAGTAGAGAAGAAGTTCTTGTCCACACTTGGAATTTCTAATTTTGATGCAATACAGTGCCTGCCCAAAATGAAATATCTTCGAATGTTGGTATTCGAGAATTGCCCAACCGTGTCGTCATTAGAGTTCTTATCTCATGAGATGATGGCCGAATTGACATCACTTGAGTCTTTGTTTGTGCACAACAGTTTTCATTCAGTGAGGTCCTTCCCGTTGGGCGTTTTCCCCAAACTTTCATCTCTTGAAATCCGTGGCTGTGAGAATCTGGAATCCTTTTCTATTGAAGGAGTTGATCAGAACCTAAGCCATCTCATTCAGCTAGAAATCAACGACTGTCCAAATCTGGCGTCTTTCCCGGACGGAGGATTGCCCACTCCCAACTTGAGACACTTGTCAGTCCGGGAATGCAAGAATTTGAAGTCGTTCCCCGAACGAATTCGCACCCTCACCGCCCTTGAAGGATTGGTATTATACGATCTTCCAAATCTGGTATCATTTGCCCAAGGGGGTTTGCCTCCCAACCTGCAATATTTTAATGTTACACGTTGCGACAAAGTGAAGCCTTCAGTGGAGTGGGGATTACAAGGACTTGTCTCCCTTAAACAATTTCAAATTACTGGCGAGATCTGGGCACCGTTGCTCAAGGAACAGCTCCTGCTCCCTACTACTCTTAACGATCTCCGCATCGTTGGACTATCAAATCTGAAATCGGTGGTGGACGTAAAAGCACTTCGACACCTCGCTTCTCTTCACCGGCTAACCATTGGTGATTGCCCAAGTCTGGAATTCCTGCCACGAGAGGGACTTCAACACCTCACTTCTCTTCAATATCTAACTATTGATCGTTGCCCAAGTCTGGAATTCCTTCTAGCAGAGGGACTTCTACACCTCACGTCTCTTCAAAAGCTACGAATTTCTGGGTGTCCAAAACTCCAATTCCTGCCAGAAAACGGTTTGCCGCGCTCTCTTTCTTGCCTGGAGATCTACAATTGTTCCACCCTGGAGAAAAGGTATGAGAATAAGACGGGAGAAGAGTGGGCCAAGATATCTCACATTCCTTGCATATGGATAAACGACGAAGTCATCATATGAGCTCTGTCTCTCTCATACAAAGTTGTGGCATTTCAGTCACAGGTATTTTGCATCTAATGAACTTGAATAGTTTGAAAAATAAAAGACATAACAGAAATAAGAATCATAGCATATTGATCAAATATTTCTTTGCAGGAAGGAAGACACATTATCGCTACATCTTTAACATTTTCGGAAGGTATGAAGAGGATCAATCCAGCATAGTAAGCATCAAAAGTGCAACATGTATAGGTGCTCTTTCATAACCGAATAATGTATTAACATTTCAGAAATTACAAAATTTTGCAATTTGTTTCTCATCTCTCCCATTTTCTTTGTCAAGTATTGTTTGCTCTTATTTAATCTCTAGCCTTATCCCTGGCGTCACTTATAGAATATATACTAGTTCGAAAACTCAAAATTTTTTGACCAAGAACTTTTGGAATATGTTTATTCCTGGACTTTAGGGAAAAATGGTGCTGTTATATGATAACGTTTCTGCATCCGCATTCTGGTTTCGGATTTCATTCATTTCTTATTGAAAGCATGCATGTTTCGTATATCAAAAATAATAAAAATCATCAATACTGCTTATTTTGGTCTGCAGAAGCCTACACAAACTTACATCCACACTTTCCTCCTCCTCCATTGGCAGGCTGTCTCGTTTTCTTTATTCAGCTGCCAGATTGATGCTTGCGTATATACTTTATGCTCTTGTGGTTCCGATCATATAATCGTAGTTGACAAATGGAAAGATGTGTGCAGATAAATCTTTCGAGGTCTGTTTTCTGATGTTTCGTTTCGTTTCATTCTTTTTATTTATCTCCAACATAAACTTGTTGATGAGAGAGAGAGAGAGAGAGAGAGGGGGGGGGGGGGGGGGGGGGGGGGGGAGGGAGGGAGCAAGTGAGTGGGGAGGGAGGGGCAGAGAAGAGGAAATGTTTTTGAAAGTTTTGAGAATCAAAGCTGCAGATAAGTTTCTCAGTAGCTCATGTGTATTATTGATGCATTATTCAACTGTTCTGTATTCTTTTTACCATTTCTCAGTTGCGTGAATCAGCATTAGTTATCAAGACTCTTGTAAAATCAATCCTAAGTATCTGTTAATACAATTTGACAGGACAGACTCATTTATGGCCTTTGTGGATGCGGCAGTGAGCTAACTGTGGTGTGGAACTGTAAAGTAGAATTACCCAAGGGAACAGATGCTAGCTTGCATCAATTACTGGGCCTGTCTGGCATGAGTAAACAGCCGTGGCATGCTTTAATAGTTTTCTTCCGATGTCCTAGTGATCTTCACGCTGGTGCAAGAGATATATCATGTAGGTAACCCTTGGACGATTTTTTTTTTTTTTAATCATTCTGATTTCGTTTTTATATGGTGGCTTTTATGTTGGTGCGGATGAGTTTCTTTACAAACACAAATTCGTAATTGCTGCAGAGTCCTTATTGTGGAACTTAAGAGGCGATTGTCTGAGGCAACGGATGTTAGCTCACATCAATTTCCTAAGCATTTTTGGCTTGAAGATGATGCACCTCTAAAGGAAGATGATGGAACCCCGGGATGATATATTTCTTTGTCATATGGGCATGGTTTGAATACGGTGGCCTGCTATCTCATCTTCGTTCAATGCCATTATCATCTTCAAGTTGGTGTATCTATGCTTTTCTTTACGAATGTGAACTGGTAATAGATCTTTAGTTGAATACTGCAGATGAGCTTTAATTTACATTCTCTCTTACCATGGACCATCTTATGCAGATGATATGATGCTTCGTTTTAACAAAGGGTAGCTGAATATATGTTTCAGTTTTGTTCCTTCACAGTATCCCTGTTTTATGTAGTTTGCATACCATTTAAAAAAATAAAAAAAAAAATCTCATGTTAATATAATTTACAAATCATATACTTCTTAGAGAGAATTAATTTATGAAGCAACAATAATCGGATCTATTTAAAACCGTAATAGTTAGTTTTGTTCATTCTTTATCATCAATGTGCCCATTGAATTTTACTTTCATCTCTGTATTTAGGAGTTTGTTGAGCTGATATGTAAGGCAAAAGCATCCGAGATGACATCCATGTTGAATAGCTATCACAAGAAGCAGGCATTTCAAAATTTCATATGTAGTAGGAGTGTTAGAAAACAGATGGAGGTAAACGTCTTTGTATCCTTTTCCCCTGCCTCTAATTTCTGGAGGACTCTAAATGTTGATTTTTCCAGTTGGAACTGCAGTTTATTGTTATTGTATTGCTTATTTTGGACTACAGAAGCCTAATATAGGTGGCACAAACTGGCAGGTTGTCTCATTTTCTTTATCCAGGGACCATCAAGCTTGCGGAGATACGTTATGCTCTTGTAAACCTGGCCATAAATTCGCAGCAAAAATGGAAAGCCGCACGTAGTTAGATCTTTAGACAGAAGATGTGGAGGTGTGCTTTCTCACGTTTCTTTTCCTTTCATTCTTTTTCTTCATCATCAACATAGAATTTAGCGAACAAGGGAAAAAATGAGACGTTGTGAGAATCACAGTTCATATGGTTGAATGTTCTCCATTTTTTAATAGTGTGATGCTTTTCTCCACCACAGGGTACAAAGGCTTGCCTAAAGGTGACAAGAAGTAGCACAGCCGCACAGACCCAACATCTTTACGATGCAGTGCTGCTTCCATGTACTTCACTGTTCGAATTCCAACAACACAAGTCAGTCATAAAATGGAGCACCGGTTTTGCAGGCGAGGACGTTAGAATAGCCATGAAACAATTTAAGCACTTGTGATCTGTCCAAACTACTTGGAAGCAATGGACAGAAAAGGACTTCGACACCTCACTTCTCTTCAAGAGCCATGAGCTGAAAGCTGCCCAGGTCTGGAGTATTTGCCAGGAGAGGGACTACTTCAAAACCTCACTTCTCGTCAAAAGCTATATATTTGGGGGTGTGACAGTTCCCAATGCCTTCCAGAAGAGGGTTTGCCGCCATCTGTTTCTTTGCTGGAAATCCACCAATGTTCGCCCTGGAGAAAAGGTACAACAAGACGTACGGCAGAAGATTGGGCCAAGATATCTCAGATTTCTTGCATATGGATAGGCAGAGACCTGATCATAAGAGAGCTCTTTTCTTCGGAAATACTTTGTTTTCTGACATTTCCCTCTCAACTCTCAAATCGAAGTCAGGTATAGTTTGCGTCCAATTAACTTTCATGGTAGCACAAATATAAAAATAAAGAAAAATAAATAAATATGACAAACATAGCATGCCTATTGTTTCAAATACTTTGCAGATCATCGTATAGGCAGACATTAGACTCTCATTCTGTGAATCTTAACAAGTCTTAAGTTCTGAATTATTATTTTTTTTCGCAGGACACAATGGCTTCTCTTGGAGAGCTTTTCGTACGCAAGCTTCCCAAGTTTGCCAATCATTGCCAGGGGAGAGGAGGGTTAAATGACCACTGTATATAACATTTCGTTTTTCTACAAGAACAATCGTCGCATGGAGGAGAAAGGGAAAGGTTCAAAAATTACAAGCTTTGCTAAGTTAACTAAGCTTTGTTTACTTCCGTTTACTTTCAAAAGTCTTGCTTGTTCTGAATATTTTGTATTTCATTTTTGTAATATGTTACGGTGGTTAAAGTCGATTTTCCCATTGTAGTCTTTGTAATGTGATTCAAAACATCAAATTTTGAAATATTTCGTGTATGCATTTCAAAAATCAATTGACAATATAGTTTCATACTTCCTTTCTTTCCAGAATATTACTCGCACTTTGTAAAATGTTGCTCATCATCTTTCATCCGTATTGTTGATCTCAAAGAAGATTGTCATAGATATACATTGTTCGGAATATTTGTCATCACCGCAGTCATTGACAAAGGCAACCCCATTGCCGCCCTGACTTCCAATGCTCTTTTGATGAAGCTGCAATGTCAACTCAAGCCCCCTCACAACATATTCATCGATGATCGTTCGATTCCTTTATCATGTAAGCAACTTATAGCAATGTCAACGAACTTTGTTCAAGCACTCGACTTCAATCTTCCCTTTCACATTTGGGTCAATGATTTGATCAAGTGTCCCGTTTCCATGACAACTCTTGGCCCACTCAGCTAGGCTGATTTCCCTAGCCTCTACCTTATGCATCAGAGATGGCCTCGCACACAATACCTCCCACAAAACCACCCCAAATGAGTACATATCAAACTTCTCAGTCAGTTGTTGACGTCTGTAGTACTCCGGGTCTAAATACTCGAAGCTACCTTTCACCACCATGCTGATGTGCGTTTTGGACGTGTTGGTCGTGCCCATTTTTGACAACTCGAAATCCGATACCTTGGCCACCATTTTTCCAATAAAATGTTTATGCTCTTCACATCGTGATGAATAATGGAGCCCTTGGCACCGCTATGAAGGTAATGTAACCCTCGCACTACGCCAATACAAATTTGAAGCCGTTGTTTCCAGGGAAGAGGTTTAGAGTTACCGGTGCGATACAGATGGTCACTGAGAGTGCCACATGCCATGTAATCGTAAACCAAGACCATCTCGCCTATATCGGCACAGCAACCAATGAGTGAAACCAAATGGCGGTGGCGGAGTTGGGAGAGCAGCTCGATCTCCATCTTGAACTTGCGGGCCTCCTGTGATGACTCGGGTCTCAGTCGTTTGATAGCAACAAAAGTGGCACTATCGTCAATGTATCCTTTGTACACATTGCCAAACCTGCCAACACTAATAATGAAAGTATCATTGAAGTTTTGGATGCCGGCTTTAATCTCAGCCAACGAAAAATAACGACACAGATAAGGCAGTAAAGGTGACTCGAGGATCTTTGTTGACTTTGTCTTCCCATGGTTGGAGCCAAAGGACTTGACTTTTCGTCATCGTCGGAAAATTAAAAATCGTAGGAGGTCAGACATAACAAGTATGCCGAAAACTACACCAATGACGAGGAACAGAGTGAAGGCCAAAACTGCAAATGTAGTAATAGTTGCCTGCAGAGGTGAGAGCAATGTTTACTGAGACAGCTCTGAGGGCTGAGCCAATGGGTTTTGCTGCACTGCATGAGTCGAATGATGCCTTCAATACTCGGATAATGTCGTGTGCGCCGATGCTGAATATGAAAACTGGTATACATAGTTATTGAAAATATGAAAATGTCGAGAAAAAAATGGTTATACAACATAAGGTTGAATATACTTCACATTAAGGTTTAGGAGAGAATTTTAAAATGTCATATGAATTTATACATTTTTATCAATTTGTTATATGTATTAAAATTTTAAGCAATTTGTCATTTCAACTTTTTGAAATCTTAAACCAAACCGTTGCCCTCCCTATATATTTGGTATTCACTTATATTAAAAAAAATGCACAAAACAAATGTGTTTTGTTTTGTATGTCTGAAATGCTAGATACTTCATGTGTTGTTGTCCAGTGTAAATTGATTTACCAACTAATTTAACTCTTGAAAATTCAACAGATTTGACACTTTTGAAAATATCACGATTTTAACACTCTCATGTCTCTTTGTTCAAAAAAAAAAATAATAATAACATAATAATTTCTCATGTCCTAGATTCTCATGCGCATTTTTCACAGGAATTGCAAAGATCCTGAGTTGGGTATGTTGTAAATTCGAACCCAATTGAAGAAATGGGTTAGGCAAATTTTCCAACTTCTTGGCTTTTTGGTGAATTCAGAATATCAAGCATACTGGGTTCGTGTGCTGATTTGGCTTCAGCAAGGTCTGGAGAGCAGATCCAAGGATATGCATGTTCAAAATTCACAAATATGAATGTATGCAGAAATTCACTATAGGCAAATATAATTTGATGTATGATGTTTACTAATTTTTTCTATTATTATACATTTGTTTGGTATAAATATGGGAAACCAAACGGAATCGCATGCTTGTATGCATTAAGAAAATCCCGAAATAGCTTGTCGGAATTAATTTTGACATGCGCAGCTTTGAAATAGCCCACCTTGCCAAAAGAACCACCTTGACGGTACAAGGGTGGAGGATATTCGCCACTCTTGCGATCAAAGGAAGACATCTTAAAGTCTTTGCAAAAAGTATGAGGAAAAATATTTAGAAGGCAGCACAAGATAAGAGAATAAAAAATAAGATAAAAAAGACCGCAAGCCCGGCACCCCCGTGCCAGGCCTCACGGCCCTCATGCTCTCTTTCGCGCCCAACACTCCACGGCCCAAGCTGTTTCAGCCCAGCATAGGGGGAAGCCCGCGCCTCCTTCCCCTCTCTCTTCCTCGCGCGCCAAGCAGCTTAGTGAGGCCCAAAGCCTCTCGGCCCTCTCTCATTTGCATGCAGGTTGACCCAACGCGGGGGGGAGGCCCACGTCTCCTCTTCCCTTTCCGCTCGCGCGCTAGACGCCCCAAGAAGCAAGGCTGAGTTATGCGAACCAGGCCACCAAAGACCGAGAGCCGGCCCAAGCCGAACTCTCCCTCTCTCTCGCCTCTCTGCTGACAGGCCCCTGCCCAGCAGCCTACAAGGTCCGGCCTGTGCCAACCTTTTAGCACCCCAGTGACGCCGACACCTCGACCAAGCCGAGCCGACCCTCTCGCCGCACTACCTGCAGCCCCGTGGCATCCCTGCCACACCATTTACACCTTTTTGGCACCCACCGAACCAATTTTTTAAGTCTCAAGACTCCCCAAAAATTCAAGAAAAAAAAAATTTAAATTTTTCTTACTTTGTGCGGCGCAGAGAAGAAGAAGAACAACGAGAAATGACTCTTTGCAAGGGCAAGAAAAGAAGAACGCTAGGGGAGAGGGAATAAAAATTTCCTCTAGCTTCTCTTCCTTGTTGGAATAATGATTGTTCTCCAAATTTATTTAATCCCCTGCTTAAGGTATAATTAAATAGGTATTGGGGGCAATTATTTTTCTTTTCCTGGAAGAAGTCTATATCCAAATCAAGAAAGAATATCAAGTTCAAATTGGGAAACAATTCTACAAGCCTAAGCAGCTTGGGATTCCTACACCTACTATCCTTTTTTTGCATGCAGCAAAGTAAGTGTGGAGGCATTTGTGGAACCTAAAATAATCCCAAAAAATCTAGAGGCAATACATGGACTTTTATTCAAGAAATACAAGATTGACCCCAATAAATGGGCAGGCTTCTCAGATGCTCACATCCCTAGAGGTCTCAACAACTGAGTACGACTGCCCAAAGCTTACCTGCCCTTGGCAAGGAATTAAAGATAAGGATTAATTACCCAAATCCTATCTTTAATACATTCCCAATTGAAAATTGATTCCAATAAAGTAAGTAATCCTAATTTAAATCAATTGGGATAATTACACCATTATCTCAAGATGTTATTTCCTATTTAATATCTTGGGAATATTTAGAGAATATCTCTCCATTAAACACTATGCCCGGCCCTATCTCTATAAATACCCCATATTTCTACCAAATTTTGAGAGCTTTGGCTAATCCTTAAAAGAAGCCCTAAACACTTTACTCTCTCAGAGAAACTAGCTTAGGCATCAGAGATCTGTTGACCTAACCCCCCCAACCCCTCCCCCCGCCCCCCCCCCCCCCCAAAAAAAAAAAATCTTGTGGGCGCATGAGGCTCAGGTCTTTGATCAAAGGTGTTGATTGTTTTGCAGGTGCATTTTTGTCAATAGTGAAGACGGCGGAAATGTGCATCAACAATATTAATGTTAAATTGAAATGTACCCCATACAAACTATCCTTTAAAAGGAAAACGTACCACTAAATTATATTTTTCTAATGTACCATGGTACGTGAAAAAAAAAATGAAAAATGGGTCGATAGTGTGTGCTAAAGCAAAAAGCTTACCCTCTGGTACAGATACTCAGATAAAGAGGAGTACGGATACTCACATAGATGATTATCCTTTTGATATCACTTATTAATTCTTATTATCTCCACTAAAAATCAGAGACACACGTTTCTTACTTTTTCGTTTCTCTTACCAATTCATCAAAACAGAGATACAATTTATTTTTCAAATTAAAACGTAACAATTTCAAATTGAAATGTATCCATTTCAACTTGAAACGTACAATTCAAACTTGCAACATACTAATATATCGGCTTGAAACGTACCAATGGTAAATTGAAATGTACCCAATACAAACTATCGTTTTAAAGGAAAAGGTACCACTAAATTCTATTTTTCAAATGTACCATGATACGTGAAAAAAATGAAAAATGGGTACATAGTGTGCTAAAGCAAAAAGCTTACCCTTTGGTACAGATACTCAGATAAAGAGGAGTACGGATACTCACATAGATGATTACAGGCCTTGGGCCATTTTGAGTGCAGGCGTCCAAAACCCTGTGCGCAGCCCAACTGCGGCAACCCAAATCAGACCATTTTTCCGAGGAATGGCAAAATCGTAAATAATCCAAAATTAGGCCCTCAACTTTAGAGTATAGTAATGCTAATCTTCATTTCTTTTTTCAAGTTACTTTTATAAAATTCTTTTACTATTTTGAAATTCCAATAAACCCCGAAGTGGGACTCATTGTTGCACAGATAGTGTATTATGTTTGAATAATGTTATTTGTACTGCAATTATTCACAATTTGTCTAATAAGTGTGGACCCTGCTATATATTATATTCATAGGCAAAATTGTGGTTTCCTATCCTAAATAAGACTGGTTAGGATCATGATTCTTTTCTATATATGTCTTTTCAAAACGTACGTGTAAATAACGGCTTCATTGATCCTATATCTATCT